CAAGGTCTCATGTGTCCCACACTGGACTTGAACCCATGATATAGCCCAGGATGACTTTGATGTCTATTCCTCCTGTGTCTGTCTGTCTCTCAACTGCTTAGATTATAGGCATTTACCAGTTTATCCTATTTTGGGGGTCAAACTCAGGGCCTTACAAAGTAAGCTACAGCCTCAACCTTATACAATTACTTTAAGAAGCCTGAGTCCTCAGGGCCTAATTTGAGGTAACTAATTTTGTGTCTAACGTAATATGTTTTGAGAGCCTGCCTGGGTGAGTATATTCTTTCTGTTTATTTGTACAGTAGTTGACTAGTGACATGACTACCATTCTTTTTCTATTATGAAAATATGAAGTATTAGAATATAGAATCGGTGTGATCAACTAATAGCAGACACAACTCCCGATTTAACTCTATATGCTACTTCCTCACAGCTTTCAGGAAATTGGTCACATGTTTGAATCAGAAGATTGCTTCAGAATGGTTGATGTTTGACTCCACATTAGAATTTAAAGAAGTTCACATTTGAGCTAAAATGTTGTAATGAACTCTTCTTCTACTTTCTATTATGGGAAAGTTCAGCTTTGTACATTGGCAGTTGTGTAGCCAATGAGGTTTATCTGAGGTGTCAGTGCTACTAATTTAAGTTTCCAAAAAGTACAGAAAGTAATAAAATGAACTTAATGTGCTTTTACCAAACTTCAACTAATATTTTATGTCCACCTAGCTTGGCCCACTGTTACCTTCAAACTAGTCCCATACATTTTATGTGTGAATATATTACCCTTAGGGCTTAAAAGAATAGATCACAGGAATTTAATATACATATTAAAAGGGATTAGTAGTAGTTTTTTTGTTTGGTTTTGTTTGGCTTTTCGAGACAGGGTTTTCTCTGTGTAGCCCTGGCTATTCAGGAACTTGCTCTATAAACCATCCTCACCTCAAATTCACAGAGATCCGCCTGCCTCCCAAGTGTTAGGGTTAAAGGCATATGCCACCATGCTGACTGGTTAAATTTTCTTAACTGCTATTTTTATTTTCAAGCTTGTTCATTGAGTAAAAGTGTTTGTCAAATGGTTTACCAAGTGCCAAGTTTACTGGCTGTTTCTCTTTCCCTGTGTTTTCTGTGAGTTGATACATTCAGATCCTTGAAGTTTATGAGAGTTGTTTGTTTGTTTGTTTGTTTTGGCTTTTCAAGACAAAATCTTTTTTTTTTCCTGGCTGTCCTGGGATTTGCTCTATAGCCTAAACTGGCTTAGAACTCCAGAGAGCCACTTGCCTCTGCCTCCCAAGCAGTGGTATTAAAAACAAACACCGCCTGGCTGAGTTGTTTTTTTGTTTTGTTTTTGGTTGTTGTTGTTGTTGTTATTTTGAAACAGGATCTCACTATGTAGCTCTGGCTGTCTGGAACTCACTATGTAGACCAGGCTATCCTGGAACTCAGAGCAATCCGCCTGCCTGGTGTGCTCCACAGTGGCCAGACATACTTTGTTTTTAACGGGAATAGCTTTGGTATTTCTGTCACAACGTGCAATAATAACTCCTTTGTGTCATTAGCACTGGCAGCAATCCATTATTTATGTCTGTTATTTAATATGGTTAATAAAAATAGTATTGTTCCAAGTATCTGATTTTTCTTTTGTTATTGGCTAAAATACCTTTTTCTCCTCTGATCATGTGTCTTACTCTGCTGCCCAGGTTGTCTTCAAATTCCTGTACCCTTCTCCAGCCTCTTCATAGGCAGGCCTACAGACATGTGCCTCCATACCCAGGTTGGAAACTTTCATAGAAAAGATTTTCTCTTAACCAGTTTGGTTACCTTGAGATTAGTTCATATATGAAAATGAGGATAAATATTTAATCCTTTGCACTTTAAAAATTAATGGCTTCTCTATTGTCCTACAGAGTTAACCAACATTAACTTCTTGTTTGTTTCCCTCCATACTCTTGACCTTTTTCTCCTTCCCCTTTCTCTTCCTCTCTTCTTCAGCACAGATTTACTTTGAGGCACTTAAGCATGTTCTTTTTCAAAGTTCTTTTTTTTTCCTTTTTCTTACTGACTTTTATTGAGCTCTACATTTTCTCTGCTCCCCTCGCTGCCTCTCCCCTCCTCCCTTCAACCCTCCCCCAAGGACCCCATGCTCCCAATTTACTCAGAAGATCTTGTCTTTTTCTACTTCCCATGTAGATTAGATCTATGTAAGTCTCTCTTAGTGTCCACATTGTTGTCTAAGTTCTCTGGGATTGTGGTTTGTAGGCTGGTTTTCTTTGCTTTATGTTTAAAAACCACCTATGAGTGAGTACATGTGATAATTGTCTTTCTGGGTCTGGGTTACCTCACTCAAAATAATGTTTTCTAACTTCATTCATTTTCCTGCAAAATTCAAGCTGTCATTATTTTTTTCTGTTGTCTAGTACTCCATTGTGTAAATGTACCACATTTTCCTAATCCATTCTTCGATCAAGGGGCATTTCGATTGTTTCCAGGTTCTGGCTATGGCAAACAAAGCTGCTATGAACATAGTTGAGCACATATCCTTCTGGCATGATTGAGCATCCTTTGGATATATAACCAAAAGTAGTATTACTGGGTCTTGGGGGAGGTTGTTTCCTAATTTTTCTGAGAAATCGCCACACTGACGTCCAAAGGGGTTGTACCAGCTTGCACTCCCACCAGCAATGCAGAAGTGTTCCCTTTTCCCCACAACCTCTCCAGCATAAGTTGTCATCGGTGATTTTGATTTTGGCCCTTCTTACAGGTGTAGGATGGAATCTCAGAGTTGTTTTTGATTTGCATTTCTCTGATGACTAAGGATATTGAACATTTCCTTAAGTGTCTTTTAGCCATTTTAGATTCCTCTGTTGAGAGTTCTCTGTTTAGGTCTGTACTCCATTTTTTTTGTTGGATTATGTATTCTTTTGGTGACCAGTTTCTTGAGTTCTTTGTGTATTTGGAGATCAGACCTCTGTCTGATGTAGGATTAGTGAAGATCTTTTCCCATTCTATAGGCTGTCATTTTGTCTTATTGACCATGTCCTTTGCTTTACAGAAGCTTTTTAGTTTCAGGAGGTCCCATTTATTAATTTTTTCTCTCAGTGTCTGTTCTGCTGGGGTTCTAGTTAGGAAGTGGTTCCCTGTGCCAATGCGTTCAAGTGTATTTCCCACTTTCTCTTCTATAGGGTTCACTGTGGCTGGCTTTATGTTGAGGTCTTTGATCCATTTGGACTTGAGTTTTGTGCATGGTGATAGATATGGGTCTATTTTCATTCTCCTATATGTTGAAATCCAGTTATGCCAACTCCACTTGTTACATATGCTTTCTTTTTTCCATTTGATTTTTTTTGCTTCTTTGTCAAAAATCAGGTGTTCGAAGATGTGTGCATTGATATCCGGGTCTTCTATTCCGTCCCATTGGTCCTCCTGTCTGTTCTTATGCCAATATCAGGTTGTTTTCAGTACTATAGCTCTGTAGTAGAGTTTAAAGTCAGGGATTGTAATGCCTCCAGAAGTTCTTTTATTGTACAGGATTGTTTTGGCTATCCTGGATTTTTGGTTTACCTTATGAAGTTGAGTACCGTTCTTTCAAGGTCTGTGAAGAATCTTGTTGGGATTTTAATGGGCATTGCATTGAATTTGTAGATTGCTTTTGATAAGACTTTTTCAAACTTCTTATTTCACATGTAGATAATGTATTTATACTTGGAGACTGCTGTTTTTACACACTAATGACACAAAATGTTTAAATTTGATAATTTCCTTCAAGGATTCTTTTTAGACAAGACGTTAAACTCACAGACATCTGCCTGCCTCTGCCTGATGAGTTACTGGGATTAAAGGGGTACATCACCACACCTGACTTTTTTAAATTTATTTTTAATCATAATTTGATCATATGTATATATGTGGATGTGTGCACATATGAGTGCAGTTGCCTGCAGAAGCCAAAGGAAGGTGGAGATTCAGGCAGTTGTGAAGTCCCTGATGCGGGTGCTGGGGACCAAATTTGGGGCCTCTACAAGAGTTGTATGCACTTTTAACTACAGAACTATCTCTCCGTCGCTTCAAGATCCTTCCAGTGCATTTAAAGCAGAGAAAGCTGAAAGAGTTAAGTTTGTTTTGTGAGCTAGCAAGCCCTTTTATTCACTGTGACTCAGAGCTGAGGACAAGGTCTGTCTGGCTCAGGGTGAAGGTTTCTCCAGAGACTGTCTCTGTCCTATTATGGCCTGTCTGGTATTTAAGCCACTTAAATCTAAACTTTGTTTTCATCTTTATGTCCTGAACTGAGTAAGGAAAAACAACAGTGAAAACCTTTTCTTCAAAAACATAAGTCTACAAAGTGACTGAAATGTGAATCACTGTGAAGAAGTGAAACATTTGTAAATCCTGTCGTAACAATGGCCCATCCTGATGCTAAGTTTTCAGGGATTTCTTGGCAGCAGTTTGTCTCAAGGTTTTTGTTTTTTTGTTTTGTTTTGTTTTTTGTGTTTTTTTTTAAAGGAAAGAAAAAAAAAGATTACCTGAAACATCCTAGAGAATTTTAATCTAACAGCTTTACTGATGATTTTTGTTTCATGTTTGAAGGGTTTGGTTTTGTTTGGTTTTGTTTTTGAGATAGATTTTACTTTGTAGCCCAAACTAGCTTCAACTTCTGATCTTCTTGCCTGTGTCTTCCAAGTGATAGCAACTGTCTTCTTATCACATCATTTGGATTAAAAAGTGAAGGAAGTTCTAAGAAAAACACCAGAACTTAAGGAAAGACGCTATTTGAGACTGTCGTGTGCCCAGGAGTGTCTCCAAATCTATTTATTTACTATCTTACCTGGCTTACAAGTCAGAATTATGGCTAGGACTCAGACTTTCAAACTTTGAATTATATAGCAGATGTACACATTCTATCTCAAATGCTTTTGGAAATATAGAAACAATAATTTGTTTTATTGTGTCACTGTGCTAAAACTAAACCTCACATTGGGTGTTTTTGTTTTTGTCTTTCCACGCAGGGTATTGGTACAGCCATTGGAGAGCTGCCTCCGTATTTCATGGCCAGGGCAGCTCGTCTTTCAGGAACTGAACCAGATGATGAAGAGTACCAGGAATTTGAAGAGATGCTGGAACATGCAGAGGGTGCGCAGGTAAGAACAACTGGGGGGTGGAATTCTAGTCCCCAACTCAGCTATTACTGCTAAGGGTGTGCAAGTAAGAACCATGGGAGAATAGACTCCAGTCCCTGACTCAGCTGTTACTAATGTCTAATGGTTAGTAGTTGCTGTAAGAAAGAAAACTGCCAAAGTGAAAACAAAACAAAATATGACCTGGGACAGGCTATGCAGAAATACCGAAAATAAAAATGCTAAAGAGAGACTGGGAGTATAGGTTCCTGGTACAATCTTTGCACAGCATGCAAGGGACCCTAGGTCCTGTCCCTACTTCTTGGAGGAGAGAAGCCTAAACACTGCCTTTGTTGGTTGTTTTTTCCTGACAGATTGGTAGTTAGAAAATCAAAAGCCACTTTTCTCCCTCCAGGAACAGATAAATGTCACTTATTTGCTTCAAAAAGTGTATGTGTGTCTGTGTGTATGTGTGTCTGTGTGTTTGTGTACATGTGCACGCCACACCCAGGTTCTTTTTGTAAGTTACTATTGGGTTTTGTTTATTTCTTGAGATAAAGATAGTTTTGTAGCCTGAGATGACTTGCACTCGTAAGGATTACAGGTGTACAGTGAATACTGCAGCTCTGGCTGGCTCTGCCGTGGCCATTTCCTCCTTGAAAACAAGCCTTGGGATTTTATCCCGATGTGAAAACACACAGTGCTTACAGCTTCGAAGGTATTTGCTGGGGGAAATTAAACATTTTGTAATGTTCTTGAACAGTTAGAAAGCATCAAGTGAGTAAGCAGCTTCTGCTATTGGACTTTGCGATTCAAATCAGTCCTTCTTTACCTTTGAATGTTCCAGATCATCCTCAGTATAGACAGGGTGAGCCAGGTCAGTAAAAACCCAAATTCCAGGCTTAGGCCAGCTTTTTCCCCCCTCTCATAGAGCCTATGTGCCAACCTTTTTGCTCAATCTAAGGAGCAGTGGTTTAGTCGTAGGAAAATGCCTCAGAACATCGGCAAATGTTGAACCTTTAAAGGATGGCCTTAGAAAACACCACAGAAAAAGGAATTAAGGCAGTGACCGTTGTGCTAAGTGAATTCGTTTTGCTCCCTCCCTCTACAGTTGTGTCTAACAAACCTCATATGACTGAGATTTAGAATTTTTCTGATTTCAAATTAAAGGAAACAGAAACTTAAGAAAATAATCTTATTTCCAAAAGAAAACATTAAACAGGAGGAACTTGGGAGAGAAAAAAAATCATTTATTGTACTTGATCATGGAAGGCATTTTTCAGGCTCTGGCGTTGAAATATTTAGTTCGGGGGTCAGAATAAGGCATGTCATTGTGCCTATGTGGAGATCAAAGGGCAACTAGATTGCATTCCACTGTGTGGGTCCAGGAGCTCAAACTCAGATTGTCAGGCTAGGTAGCAAGCTCCTTTACCTGCTGCCATCTCACTGACCCAGGAGGGGGGTCTCTTGTCCTGGAGCTCAGCAGGTAGGGTGGATTGACTGACCAGTGAGTCCCAGGATCCACCTATCTCCAGCTGGGATTAGGACAATGTGCCACCACACTGAGCTTCCACAGGAGTGCCGGGGATCCCCGTGCTTGTAGCCAGTGCTTTACCAGCCTTACCAGTTGTCCTATCACCCATCTCTGGGTTATTTTTAAGTAGGAATTGTTTTATTGTCAGTTATCTGATTAACCAAATAACACAGTCACCCTATTAATAGTTAATGGTTTCAAAAAAGAACACCTGTCCATCCTGCTCACAGATGTGTAATGAGGGCCTTGTTTCTCTGGAAAACCTTTCAAAGGCCTTGTCCTACCACTCCCTACATTGACTAGAGCAGCGGACTTACGGCTCATTTCATTCTTAGCAGTTTTTTTATTTGGAGATAATGCATTCCATACACTTACTGCCATTGAAAAGCTCAATTTCAAAACTTCAGACCTGGAATATGATGAAGAAAAACAGCAGTCATACTTTATCTTGTGTCTTTAATTGAAGTTCTTAAAGACTCGGCCAAGTTTGGCTTTCCCTCCCCACCGTGAGCGTGCTCGTCTTTCCATTCTTCTCATGTGGCCCTAGTATTTCTGTTACTTTTGATTGGATCTTTTCTAATTCGACTTCATCTGTTTTGAGCCTTGAAAATTAGATGAGATGGCACTCAATGATTATGAGGTTTGGGCTGTTTTTAATCTTTTTTGACTTTATGCCGGTAATTCCAAACATGATTTGTAGGATAACTATGCATTTCTTACTCTCTAACTTCATATTTGCTTATCTTAAAAGTGAAGAAAGCAAACTATATGCATCTTATTTATCCTTTAAATCAGAAATTGGACACCTAGAGCTTTTGCCTCTTGCTGTGCTGAAGATCGAATCTGGGACCTTGTTCATTGCTGGACACACACTGTATCACTGCACTACATCCCCGGCCTTGTGCTCTTTAAGAATGTTCCATCTGAGGCCAGGACGTGGTGGTGCACGCCTTTAATCCCAGCGCTCGCGAGGCAGAAGCAGGCAAATCTCTGAATTTGAGGCCAGTCAGGTCTACAAGAGTGATCTCTTTGAAATGTTTACTCAGTATCTTACTTATAGCTAACATCAATTGCCATACAAACTGGAAAATGATTTAGTTAAATAATAAGAAAAATATTAACTCATACATGATAACTGTGCTTTTACTATTTTCTAAGATCAATAAAAACCAGTGTATTAAACAGTTGAATAAATTACCTTGCCATACTCTGAAGTAAAAGGCTTTATCCCTGGTTCTTATTGGTTTGTTGTTGTTAGCAGTTCTGCAGCTTTGTGAATCAGAAGGTTAGCTGTCATTCACATTTTTGCGCATGGTAACAGACGTGTAAATCCAATCTGTAGGGCTTGCTTGATGATCCCTTATCCTCATTATGTTTTCTGGACAAATGTACATGGATGTGATATGTAACATTCCTTACTCCTTTGCCCGGATGACTTTAGTGAGCCTGGTATCAGTGTGCACATCTGAGGTTCCCATCTCCTTCATGGCAGATTTCCAGATTTTTTGAGTGAACAAGGGGCATGCTCCAGGAAGCCCATTGCACATTTTGTGAACTTGATTGTGTGTTTTTGAGTGACCACCTCCTTGATGGTTGAATGGCCCTTCGTCTTCTTGCCACCCTTCTTTGTGGGGGCCGTTCTGCTAGGCCCAACTTAGAAAGAATAGGCACAAGAAATTTTGTTTCATTTCTGCAGTAGACACAAAATCTGACTGACTTTCTCTCTCTAGTAGCTGGTATTGTTCCACTGCACTTGGCCTATACCTCATTTGAGCAAAGAAATACACTCAAGATCACAGGATCAGTGGCTCACCTAGCCAAAGTCCAAGCCCATTTTCTGGCTCTAGGGATTAGCGTTGTGTTTACCGTACCACAATTTAGCAATAATTTCACTAGGTGTAATGAAAGATGAAGAACTAAGGGCTGGAGAGGCGGCTCAGTAGTTAACGACACTTCCTGTTCCCCCAGAGGACCCAGAGCAGTTCCTAACACCTGTATTGATTTCACAGCCACCTGCATCTCCAGCTCCAGTGAGGCCAAGCAGGACCAGCCTGAGCTAAATAACAAGACTGTCTCAGAGAACACCATGTAAAATGAAAGGTTTAAGCATCAAAATAATTCTACCTGTGATGCAATGTAGGGACCTAATTTCTCTCCAAATGAATTTGGTATTTTCATCTTACTTTTCTGTAATGCGATCAATCCTAGGGCCTTGCACGTGCCGGGTGAGTACTCTTGTCACTGAGCTGTATTTTCAGCCCTCTTCTTTGCTTTTTATTCTGAGGTGATGTCAAACTAAGGTGCCCATAGTGGCCTTCAACTTTCTGGATAGCCCTAGTAGTCCTTGAACTTGCTACATTCCTGCCGCAAACACTGAGTCGCTGGGATTACAACCCTGTACCACCAGCCTTGCTTCCAGGTGATTTAGTTTTACCTCATGTTTTGACTAAGCAGCTATTAATGACATATTCAAGACATGCTAGCCCGACATGCCTTCCATGGTGCCTTATTGATGGTGGTTTAAAAGTTTTTTGGTAATCACACCAGAATGATTACACAACGTCTCTAACATTGGACAGCTCATATAGACAGATATAGAACATCTCTTTTGATAGGACCAGTAAACGGAACGGGAATCAACTATAATTAAAACAATAAAGTAAAATGAATAGCTGTAAAACATGACTTAAAGATTGTTTGAAATATTTTTAAAATTTTATTTTTAGTTCTTAAAGGTAAAGTACTTTAGTGGCATAAATTTATCAGCAGGAAGTCTAAATAAATCAAACACACACATATATAACCTTGGCACTGGTTGCTTTGTCGTGTTCTTTCCAAGTGGGTTAAAGGGAACGTGTAGATTTTACTCAAATTGTTGCTCAGTAACAATGTTCAAGCTACATATTTACTTAAATTCTACTTCTGACTAATGTTTGGATATTCATGTAATAGCTGTTTTGAGAGAAAGAACAATGATGTGTTGATTTATATTTTGATTCCTTATAATTATCTCAGTTACTTTGTGGGTGCTGTATTGAAAATAGACAGTATTTTTCCACTAAATTGACTTCCTTTTGCTCTTGGCTTTCTGTGCTGTTCTTACTGTGTCTGTGGGAGATAGGCATGAATGAGGGCAGCTTCCTATGGCCTTGAGCATCCAGTGTTTCCAAAAGTTGAGTTCTAAACTAAGCTGGTAATGTAGGTCTGTAGCCCTGTTAGTAATGGGGGGGCTGAAGCTAAAGGCTCATAAGTTTAAGGCCAACCTGGGCATCTTGGTGAGACCCCATCTCAAAATAAAAAGTCTGAGAAGGAATACTACTTGCCACACAAGCACACAGATTTATGTTCAGTGTCTCCCTCCAGTTATGTTCTAGATGGCTTTTCATGCACGATTTTATCTTTCTCTTCATGAACAGCTTTATAAGTCTTTGTTCCTGTTGTCTTTAACTTGTTTTGTAATTATTTATTTTCATTACATAGGTATTTTGCC